TGTGTAGCCCAGGTTGGCCTGGAATGCCTCGTGTAGCCAAAGATGACTTTGAGCTCCCCATTCCCCTGTCCCTACTGTCCATGACCTAGGATTACAGCTATGCACCACCATGCCTATCATTAAGCTAAGATAATGACGATTCTGTTTGCCTCCCATAACTACAAGTTAAGTGTAACCAAATCCATTTAAGATGCATCTCCCTCTGCTTAATGTGAGTTAGAATGTGACCCTAGCGCATAGTGCTGGTTCGCCTTGACTGTTCTCTGAGCCTGAAGACTACCAAGATCTTTTTCATAAAGTTCATGTCTGCTTTCCCATATAGCACACATAGCGCTGTTCTATTACAGCAGCATTTAATGGTTGGTGACACTGAAACTGCCTTCTGCACCTTACTCACTTCACCAAATGCACAGTTCACTTCCATGCCGGAGACTCACAGTTTCTGTTTCTTACTCCAGGTTTCATCGTCCATAATGAAGCACGGGACTGCTCAGATATAAAGACTGACCATCCCTGGCAGAAGCCCTGCTTCCTGAGACCCTGACATTGCACTGAGATTTGAATGTGTATGTTTCCGTTTTGTTGTGGTGAAGGAGGTGTACGACTCGGCTTTGGTTGAGAGTGCTCCTTGCCTGGACAGCTCAAAAGAGGCCAACAAGCTGAGAGGCAGATGCAGCAAGCCTGGCTGCCTAGAGTGTGCACTGATGCAAGGGCCACTCTGGTTCTCTCAGCTGTCCTTCAGCAGGAATTTTAATCAAAGAAGACAAGCAGAAGACAATCGCCAGTTCAACTACCAGAAAGCCAAACAGTATAGCGCGTGTTCACAAACAGTAGATATTGGAATTGCTGGTGGTCACCCCAACAGGGTGAGAGCTAGAACTAAGAAAGAAAGAGAACTGTTTCATTATGTTAATGAAGAGAGGAAGAATGAAGAAAAGTATATTTTTGAAGTAGACATTTGGTAGCTGAGAACTTCCTAAGGGATTTGGGAACCTACTCAACCAACGTAGATTCCTTAAAGACTTCATTCTAGAACATTATAGTTTCACCAATAATGGTTCTGTGTAGTACCATTTTTTTTATGTTGTGCCAGTGAATCCAGTTGCCAGAAACAAATATGAGTGTTCATTAAATGCAAGAAGCTTCTAGCAGCTCTTACCAAGCATGCCTGCTCGCAGTGTGTGTGTTGCATGCTCTCAGTGGTACAGCTACCCACACATTTTCTTCTATTGCTTTCCTAATGTCTGAGCACTCTACAAGGGTAACAGGAATGAGATCAGATGTAATGTGGCCCTGTAAAACTGTTGCAAGCTTTAGAAATAAATCTTCTGCTCTTTCCCTGTCTTCATTATCTCCAAAGTCAGGAAACCATTCTTTAGCTAAAGAAGGTGATATGGACGGTCATGCCACCCTTTAAACACTCAGTCCAGAGTTGCAACTTAAGCAACATACAAGTGTCTGCTGCTTGCTCCAAGTTCTGAGAGGGAATTTAAAAAACATGCCAGGTAGTTTAAGATGCTGCATTAAATTAAAAAAAAAAAAGTTAGTTTGCTGCTACTTAAAAGAATCAAACTATAAAAAGCAAGCAGATGGATTTAACAAAAGTACCCTAAAGCTTAAAGGAACACAGAAGACTCCTGGTTTCTGTAAAGGAAACCTTACCTTCTGTGATGATTCTGTGGATCAGATCCATACACCCAGAATTTACTCCCCATGCCAGAGAAGTGGTAAGATACAGTTCAAGCCAGTTTCCCCAGGAGCCTGTAATCAGTCTTGTTTACATTAAAAAGCTTTCCTCCCTCAAACTGTTCTTCTCTGCGGTGTCAGGCCCCAGCACAGAACCCCAGAAGAGCTCACTTGTGATACTGCCTTGAATTTCATTGTCCCTTAACAATTGTTTTTGTCCCCTTGGATGAAAAACACACTTAAAAAAAAAAAGGCAGAATCTATATCGCACTTTTTTTTTTTAAACAAAGGCAGAATCTATATGCATCTATCTCATTCTTTGATCTGAAGCATTTCAGCTTCAGAATGTGGAACCCTGTAATTTTCTATTTCAACTGAAGAGTCAGCGTTTCATCAGTTGTGTAAATGTAGGCCCCGCCATTCTGTGGTATTTGGAGGGACCACTTGAAATCTGATGATTTCATTTAAAAGCGAAAGTGGTTGGCTGTAGGGGACATGCCACGAGGTAGTCAGCATCACTGTACCCGTAGCTGCGCTTGGCTGTTTGCATTAATGAAACAATGCTGCGTCTTCACTAGTTCGTCTCACTAATGATGTAAGACAGACTTTGCTTTTGAAATAGTGACTATGAGTGCGCTGGTATTTGTCTTTGTCTGGGGGCTTGTTTGATTTGTTGTTGTTTTGCAGTGCTAGGATCAAACTAGGACTGACTGTGTGCATGCTCTGCGTACTCTAACCCCTGAGCTACACCCCTAGGCTTTGTTTTATAGCATCTCAACTCAACCATAAATAGTAACTTTGTTCTCATGACTTGCAAAGTAGTTTTCCTTCGTGGTACCCTGCTATCATCTCAGTGGCATGGGAAAAATGCCAAGGCAGATTATGTTTCTTTGTCTACTCTTATGATCTCAGAGCATTTTAAAACTTCTAGTCAAATGTTCTCCATACAGTGGAAATGCAAGACTGGAGCACAGTTTGTCATTCGCAGTGTGTGCCATAGAAAGTTTCTATTGGGTTGGTCAAAAGAACCTTTTTCCCCACTAGTGGTGAGAGTGATACAGTTTTTACTTTCCACAGTGATATTCGCCCACTACAAAACAAAACACAAAATGCCTTGCATGCTGAGGCTCCCAGTTCAATCCCGAGCACGGCACAAATGAAAACCTGCCTCCCTGATACTGTCTGTCAGATTTATGATACCTATACAGTTTCTCAAAATTGATACATTTTGAGAAATTTTTTGTGAGAAAGAAGTTTAGAAAGCTAAAATTAACTAGCAGTAGCCTAGTATTTAAATAATGGGGACCACTGATTACTTCTGTATGATGATCTATTAACTGTCTTAAAGGCCATGGGAAGAATTCAAATATCATGAGCCAAGCTGTAGTTCTCAGAATAGGGTTCTATTTTGCTGGTTAATTTGTAAAGGCAGAAAAGTTTAAAGGCTATGTAGCCTCAGCAGCAGCCCATTCACAGATCTCCATCCAGGCATCCCCACAGAAGGCATAGGCAAGGCCCCCTCTCCCTGTAATTACCTACCCTTCTTCCCACTGCCCGCATTCTACAGTCCAAACAACAAGCAGCTATTCTTTAAGAAAATGAATGTGTGCAGAAATCATGTGTGTGTATATGTGTGTGTGTGTTGCAGTTGTAACACATTTCCAGTTTTTCACTAAAACATACCATTAGACAACTGAGTGAGCTCTCCTGACTCCTGTGTTATGATAAAGAAAAAAAAATTAGCCCATCTCACTGAAGATCCTAGCAAGAAAAAAACTAGACCAAATAGAAAAGTCAAAGTGTCCATTTCCACCTTGGTTTTGAATGGAGGAAGGAGACACTGTTGATACTAAGGTAATGAGAAGACGCTAAGCCTCCCTTCACGCAGCAGCAGTCTCATCATTGCAACTGATGTGACAAGTCTTTGTTTGCTTGGGGCACCGTGACTGGTCATTTCCTATATATGTCAAATGTCTTATGGTTTTGTGTTAGCTGTAATTTATCTTTATGTTTATTCCTTAAATCATTTAACCCAAAGTCTGCAATATTCAGAGAATGAACTTGGGTGTTTAAGCAGCTATTAATTAAAGGAAAGGCAAACATATCAATCTTGCTGCCTTACTCAGAAATAAAGCCAACTTTCTGCTTTCCTCTTCTCACCCTTATTAACCAAATGAAGGCAGTTCTCTGTCTCTGGTGTCAGGAGAACATTCTGAAATTTAATTGCAAACATATTTAAGGAAAGAAAATAATCTAATATGCTTTTCAAAAATCACCAAATATTGAACATGAGTTATGAGCCCCTAGAAATGGCTTTCTACCCTGTAATTAATCCAGTGATCCATTTGGCACTTTTTAAAAATACAGGAATTTGTTCTTGACAGAGAAAGAAATGTGGGTCCACATCTCATGTCCAGATACACCCCACATCAACACACGCCAGACAAAACTTGTGAATGTTAAGCTGTAGGCACAATAGAAAGAGGTCAGTCTACCGTGTAGCAGTATGTCTGCATTTAAACAGTTAAAAAAAAAAGTTTCCTTTTCTTCATCTCTTGCTCTCAAAGTGTAGCCTGCGTTATTTGTGCATGGTCCTAGCAGCATATTTTAGAGAAATCAAAATTCTTTAGTGTATGTGAAACAGGCTTAATCTAATACAGGATGTATGGATTTATGTCCTTTTCCTCGGCATGGGGAATTTGTTTATGCATTCCTAAATCCCCACTTTACTTGCTTATCATTACGAGTACAAGAAGCTGGACTCAGAGATCATTATTCCTTCCACGTCCACACGGCATGTAGATTGTCCCTTCACCCCTTAAAATGATTAATCTTTTGTTAGTGTCTGCTGTCTACTTACTGCTGATATGTTTTTATTTAACAAAGCAGAATGAACCTTTAGGAGATATGTGCTAGAGGGGCCAACGGGCACAAAAATAAGCAATTGTCAAATTAATGAGAACAGCTTCCTGAAAGAAAGCACATTCTTAGGCAACTCAAAGTCAAGTTCCAAAGAAGGCCTCTAGGTCTCACAACAAAGGCTGGTTGGGACCAAGTGTGATGGAGATGGAGGTAAAGGTAGAAAGCCCCAGACCATTCTCATTTTTGCTTTCTATTTACTTTTTCTAATTGTTAAACCTAAACCCTCTTTCAAAGCTTGAACCACTCACTATTAGCATTTCTAGAAAGCAACTGTAATATAGACCAGCCCCCACTCTTTTTTTTTTTTTTTGGTATGACTGTATGTTGGTTTGGGGGGGGGTTGTTTTGTTTTTTTGAGGCCAGCTTCACCCCATAATTTTAAAAAAAATCTCATTTTTTACATATAAATATACAAGGTTTCTTGGCAAAGAAATGGAGAGTCCTGTGGCTGTTATTCCAACCCAATGCCAGTTTTCAGCCCTGTTGGGTTGTAGTGCAGGGAAATGCCCTTTAGCTTGTTGCTTCTTTAACACAGCTGTATGTGAACAAAGAACTGTTGATAGATGGTTCCCGGTGGGGGTGCTGTTGGCATTTGGATCTGGATAAATCCTTCTGTGCTGAAATGTACCACATGTTGCAAGATCATCGGTATCCTAGTCTCCTGGTGATTCAACACCAGACATTGTGAGAACTAAAAAGGAAAAAAGCTTCCTACTTGCCAGCATAGAAGGGTGAACCCGTCACCTGAATGCCACTGCCTGCTGCAGCAAGGGACCATGGGAGAACATGCCTGTCTCTCAATACCATGTTTACAGCCTTACATGTCTCGACCCACTTCTTTTTCAAAGCCTTCTCCTTAGATGCAGCTTAAACTGGACTGTTCCCTAGGAAAGAGGTTCCTGGGTAGCCTTGTCCAATACAGTGGGCAGCGTGACATGGCCTGATACTTCTGGAGGGTACATGAAGCATCTCTTGTCTATTACTTCACACATAGTGTTATTTCAGAACTAGACTCCTGGTTGCTGGAACCCAGTGGCTCTGAGTAAAACATTGGTCTTTGGAATTCAGACTTGGATTCTACCTGGTAATACTGGAGACCGAGTTACAAAAAAGTCTCCCTTCCTCCAGTTAACAATGCAGTTAATACACACACACATACACATACACACACACACACACATTCAAAATGCTTGGACTCCCTCGTGTAAACATATCCATATGGTTCAACTTTTCTAATAAGATGTGCAAATATGACATTGTGGCAGACATGTGGGTAAACTGGATTGCATTCATATTGTTCACACCATAGATAGGCAAAACAAAATGAGTTTCCCCCCAGGTGCAGCTCGATCAAGCTGTGCTAACAGTACAGAAAGATACTCTTTATGCCACTGAAATTGAATAGTCAATAGGTCTTGAAAAATATTTAGATGAATTGCAGCTAGCTGCAAGGATGGAATTAATTCCTCCCATTCTAATATTTTTAAATTAAAATTCTAAAGACCCTTTTTTTTTAAGGCATAGCAACTTGGAATCAATAAAGGTGGTTATAGCATAAACCTATAGATGGTGCTTAAAGAAATCTTATCTTTCTTAATAGCAGTATTTTTTAAAAAAGAAGAGAATACATTGAAAGAAGTATACGCTGTTGCACCCTCAGGTCAATATTGTGGTTTATTAAAATGCCAATAATATTTGTGCACTTGCCAGTGTCAGGGGCTTTTCCTTTCATGGATGCTCTTGGTGTGATTTTTGACTGTATCATTACGTTACTTAGAGAGCATCCACCGTGAGAATTTGCCACTGTAGTGAAGACTAGCATTAGGAAAGAATTATTGAGAACTGAGGGTCAAACCACTTTCATCACCTAAACTATAGGCACTAATTCTTTAGTATTTCTTCTGTGGCTTAGACATGTGGCCATGTATTCAAAGCATCCTGCGCACACACATTTTACCAATTAAATATCTGCTAAAAATTCAAACTAGTTCTCTCTCTCTCTCTCTCTCTCTCTCTCTCTCTCTCTCGTAACAATTTATTTTCCATAATGGACTGTCTGTGTTCTTTTGTTATTTCGAACTTTGGTTACAGTGATAGTGATGGTAAGCTGTGCTCATTGGGAGACTAGCTGGGAGAGTGTCCAGTGTGTGATCTAATCTTTACACGGGTGTGCTATCTGTGGGTATTAATAACTGGAACTGTACCAGGATGAACACGACAGTTTCTCTTTTTATTGCTAATCCATTACTATATTATAGTATCTGGGTGTGACCCCTGCAAGTATCCACACCTAAGCATATGTATTCCACGATTGTAACCTGAAAGACCATGTATTATCTTTTTTTATTCCATATTGGTGTTTGTGTTATTTAAAATGGAAAAATTATACTCAATCTAGTAGTATAATGTAGTAAGATACTCTGCTGTGCACAGTTCCAAGTGCCTTAGAACATTGTTTAGCTTTCGAAGTATACATATTTGCATATATGTGTGTATAAAATTGGGAAACGTTACCTCAATAAAAATCATTGGGAAATCCTAGCTTTAGTCTGTTGCCATTTGTCTTATTTTTCAGATAATGTTCAGTCTTTTCATTTTGTATTTATTTGTTCATTGTTTGTGTTTCTTAGATGGGTTTCCCAGACTGGTCTCTAACTTGGTAGGTATACAGTCAAGGATGACTTTGAACTCCTAGTCCTTCTATCTCTATCTCCCAAGTACTAGATTACAGACATGCACCACCTCCTCATCATCATTCATGGTCAAGGTTAAAAGTCCAATGAGGTCTCATATGGAAAGCAAGATCCAGATACATTTTATAATTTCCTGATATTTCAACCCCACCGAACTTTTAACATATGTTGTATGTGAGGCCTTGTAATTTGCATGTTAAAAACCCACCTACAGAATAGTTGCAGTTCGATTGTTTTTAAAAATTGTGTGTGTGTGTGTGTGTGTGTGTGTGTGTGAGAGAGAGAGAGAGAGAGAGAGAGAGAGAGAGAGAGAGACTAGAAGAACAGAATTGATTTAAAAACTGAATCTATATTAAAAGGGGATTTATTAGACTAGCTTACATACTGTGGTCTGGCTAGTCCAACAATGGCTGTCTCCCGATGGAAAGGCCAAGAATCTGGTAGTTTTTTCATTTCACAAGGCCAGTGTCTCTGCTGGTCTTTGGTCTATGTTGGAACCCTGAAGAAGTATATTCTAATACCAGCAAAGGAATACCTCATCAGTAGACTTGATGAAGTTACCAGAGAGAGTAAGGGCAAGCAAGCAAGAAGCAAAGACACTCCTGTGTCTTTTTGGCTGACACTAAAAGTATAATTCCAAGTTTACAGTAGATCTTCCTACCTCAAGTGATTAAATCAAGAAAAAAGTTGTCAGAAGTGTGCCAAGATCAAGTTGATAACCAAGATTAGCCATCATAAGTCTAGGCCTTGTCAACTCAACACACTATCATATCTGCTTATGCATTTCTTAATTTCCAAATATAAAAATAACCAGGTCCTAATTAAGCCTAGCATAATATAACTATCCCATGGACAAGTGTGAATGCATTATATATTTTGGAATAGGTAGCAATGTCCCTTGAGGGGCATTCTTTCAATGTCTCACCACTTAAATATGATAACCACTGATATTATCTCACTGGTGTTAGATTACATGATGGATACAGTGGGAGAGAAAACAAACATCTGCTGAATATGTGTCTATCTATATATGCACAAACACATTCTTAACAAAACATGACAGAAATGCTAATGTCAACTATAATCCTTGTTTCTGCAACTGGTCACATGACTTTAGCTGGTATTCTCAACTTCTTCTGCTGCTCATTCTGCATTTTTTACACCCTTGGCAAGCACCTGGACAGGTCCTGGAGGAGTGACTCATATTTTCAGTCTTGAAGGTCTTGACCCATTATCATCCTGCCTGGATTTGGTTGCACAAATTTATAGTCACAGGACATAGGAATGCCAAGACATTCCCTACAGGGTCTTCTACACTTCAGACATAATCTTCTTTACCTCCATGACAGAGAAGCAATGGAATTCTTATAAGTAGTCTGATGCTGGAACCCAAAAAGTCCAGAAATGGGTGTCAGATTCTCTGGAGCTGAAGTTTTAAGTAGTTGTGTGATATTGGTACTGGGAATTGAACTCAGGTCCTCTGGAAGAGTAGTATAGACTCTTAGCCACTAAGCCTTCTCCCTACCCAAAGAATTGTTGCTTTGAATAGTAGTAAATGAAGGTATATTTATTTTTAATTTTTCTATCTTTTTATGTCAGTGGCTATTTGATAATTTTTCTGATATAAAATGTAAGTATAAAAGATAGGCCCTTTAGAACTAATAAAGTAAGAAATAGACTTCTTTGTGTTTAGTCTTTAATGCACTGTAAGCAAGAAAAGAAGCTGGGAGCACATTTTAACTGAAAAGGGGTTTGAATTCCTCAACAGGATTTAACAGAATAATTTGGCTTCTCTCAGCTCCAATACAAGGTCACGGATGAGAGGAGAAATGAACAGGAATCTGTGTGTCATTATTTTCCTAGACAAGAGATGTGGGGAGAAATGAAAACCAAAAACATTAAAAAGTAGGTTTGGCCAACTACCCCTGAGCAAGGAGCCTCCCCTGGAAAATGGTTGACACATACCAAGATGACATACCCATTGTTTCAGTTTGAGTTGCATTTTGTTTTGTTCGGGGCCCTTGCAGATGAGATTACTGATGATTGAACCTAGGGACCCCTGCTTATGAGGCAGACACTCAGACGATGACCTACTATTGCCTTGGTTTTGGTTTGGTTTTTTTGTTTGTTTGTTTGTTTTGTTTTGTTTTGTTTTTCTGGTTTTTCAAGACCTGGAACTAGCTCTGTGGAGCAGGCTCTACTCTGTGAATTTGACCTCAAATTCACAGAGATCCATTTGCTTCTTCCTCGTGAGTGCTGGAATTAAACGTATGGGTCAACCAGCACTCAGCGACTGTTATTTAAAAAAAAAAATATATGAAGTTGGATGGGTCCTTATAAACTTTATCAAGGAACTTGTAACTTATCCTCAAGACAAAAGGAACTTATTAAGTACTTTAATCTCCCCTCAGTCATCCTGACTGTCTTAGCTAGGATTTCCATTGCTGTGAAGAGACACCATGACCAAGGCAACTCTTGTAAAGGCAAACATTTAATTAGGGCTGGCTTATATAGTTTCAGAGATTCAGTCCATTATCATCATGATGAGAAGCATGGTAGCACCCAATGGGAAGTGTGGCAGAGTCCAAGAAGTACTGGAAGAACTGAGAGTTTCCCATCATGCTCCTAAGACAGCCAAAAGGAGTCTCTCTTCCACAGGCTGCCAGGAGGAGGGTCTCTTCCGCACTGGGTGGAGCTTGAGTACTAGGATACCTCAAAGACTGCCTGCACAGTAAGACACTTCTTCCAACAAGGCCACACCTCCTAATAGTGCCACTTCCCATGGGCCAAGCATATTCAAAGCACCACACTGACCATAATGAACCAGTGTAAACAGTGTTGGAAGCTTAGTGGCTCTTACTGCTTATAGTCTGGTTGGTGGGGGAAGGTGGCTCCAATCAAGCTAGTTACTATTGGAACAAAGAAAGATAACCTAATTTAAAGGGTAGTTATGAAGTCAAAGTATTGCCTGTGACAAAAAAGGAACATAGAAAAGTCATGTCTATACCTAACCATGTGTCTGTGTGGTATAAAGAATGGCAGTGCCACTTGCTGAAGGACAGAACTGCAGAGATCAGTCTGGTGTAAGGATAGAGTTGGATACAGAGAAGGGGCTCAAAGAGGCTGAGGACACTGAGAAGTGAAGCATTTAGTTTTGGCTCTGTAATCTATTCCTTTTGGTCTGCCTTCTTCTGGGACATCAGATTGATAGATATACCAGAGTCAACTGGACACAGTAGTTGGAATGTCAGAGGAAATGTCTAGTTGGGATTCAGGAAGGTAGCTTGATGGGAGAGTACTTGTGCCAAACTATGTAAGTTCCCAGGCTCCAGCCCCAACATCTTAGAGGGGAAGGGAAGAATGTCTGAGAGAGAGGGAGTTGAGAATGTGCAAAGGACACTGTGAAAATTAATAAACCTCCCCAATAGGAAAATAATGTAGTTTATGCCCATGAAGTCATCAGCAGAGTAAAAATTCAATAAGCTATTTTTTCATTGCCTGACTTTCTCTTTAAGACCACACCGTCAAATTATTTACACATTATTGGGCATTTCTGATATTCGCTTGTTTTTAATTTTATAAGATTTCACTAGTTACTTTAATTTTAAATATAATATAATAGCTTTTTGCTCAGAATATTAAATTATAAAGCAAAATTACATTTGAAAACTCCTGATATTGCACAAAATATTATATATGTAAGAATATTATCTCAATGAATCAAACTGGTTATTTTTACTTCTTATTAGAATAAATTGTTCATTCTTCAATATGGTCACAAATGAAGAAATTAGTTTATATTTACTTGCTATATTCAGTGTATATGAGCTTTATCTCCATTACCCAAAAAAGCTTAGTACTAGACATGTATCTAATGTTTTCAGATATCAGAAGATTTGTATACACATGAAATGCCCTGGAGGTAGACCCAAATCTAAACACAAAATGTATTTGTTTCATCTACATGTTGCTTTCACAACGTTCTTAGCACACTTGTTCTTTCACAGTGTCTTGTCACATAACTTCAGATGTGGACTTTTCTACTTGTGTCTTCACGTAACCATACCTTTAAAGTACAAGACTTGTTGGGTATTGTGACGTATGCCTATACTCCCAGAACTGGGAAGCAGGGAGAGCAGGAGCTTACACAGTAAGTTTGAAGCCAACCTAAGCTACGTGAGACCCTCTTACAAAACACTAATGCAACATAAGAATGACACTCCTCACAGTGAGATTAGCGAGATGTCCACAGTACAAGCTGCAAAGTGAGCAGAGTGGCAGTATAGCTGTATGATCTGAATGTACAGAGAAGGATACTTGTCTCAGGTCCCAACATTCTATGCATATGCTCATTGTAAAAGACAGGGGGGCACTGCCAATTTCCCTCAGTGGAAATGTTTGTAATCTTCTCCCTTTCCTGCAATCTTCTCTTATTGCCTGAAAGCACAGAGTTAAAGTTCATAAGTTAAATAGATACATGATGCAATTACCTCATAATTTCAAAAAAATTATCTTGTGCAATAATATGTTGCTCAAAGGAAATAACAATGACTTATGAGACACTTCTGAAACCTAAAGTCAGTCTGAAATCTACAAAAAATAAAACACAACTTTAAATTTCTCTTTAGGATTACAGAGGTATAGTAAAGAAAATTCAGATTAATATGTGTGCAAAGGTGTCTATCAATCAAATGTGTAGATTTTGCATTTTATGAATAAGTGTCTGTGAAGAAAAATTCAAGATATAGGAAGAGACTATGGCTAACAAGAATTTTAAAGAACACAATTAAAATCATTGGCAGTGATTATACTTATAGTCCTAGCTATCTGAAGCATGAGGGAGGAAAA